TGCCAGTGGGTGCTGCAAAGCCGTGGGGCAAACTCTGGAGTGGGGACAGCCACCAGGCCCCTCCCCAACACTGACAGCCCCACTGGGCTGGAGCAGATGGAGCAGCCACAAATCCCTGTAAGCCAGGGAAGGGAACTAATCTCTCAGAGGACAAAGCAGTTGGCAAGAGGCATGCTTGATGTTTCACTTCCTCCTCCCTGCTCAGCCCAGCAGCAGTTTTCAGAGAAATGTGAACCAAAAAACAAATTCAGATCCCTCCTTGGTGCTTCTGCCTTTTTTTTTTTTGCCTTCCATCCTTTCTGCTGCTGCTGCTGCTGCTTGTTTGGGAGCCAGACTTCTAGTGCTGAGCCCACACATAGTGAAATACCATGGGAGAGGGATGGGGCAGGAGATGAGCTACGAGTCACCCTGTGAGCACCACTGCCACCAAATCTGTGCTTCATATTCCTCACTAACCTGATTTGCTCTGGCTCAGGGGACAGGGATGATCCCAGCATCGAGTAAGGGACAAGACACCACATCCATCATAGCTCGGCTGGGATATTTGTCACACTGCTCCTTCCGCCCTGCCTCAGAGGTGCAGCCTGCCCCCAGAGCCACCAAGCGTCCAAAACAGCCGCATCTTCCCCAGAGCTGACAGATGTCATAAATGTCAGCAGTGTGCCTGCTTGGTGTTGGCACCGCGGCTTCCCAAGCTGTCTGCCTGACTCAAGGTGTGCTGCGTGCTCTCCTCCCTACAGCTCCCCAAAATGTTGCCTTCGTGCCTTTAAGCAGCGAATTGTTCCTGCGTTTGGACAAAGGACAGAGTCATGGGGTGATCTGGGCTGTGAGCACCTCTGAGCCCTGCTCTGAGCAGGGTGATGCCAGGCTGGGTCCAGTTGGAATCATTGCACACTGAAAACTCTGTGGCAATTCATGGAATCATAGAACAGCCTGGGATGAAAAGAGCCACAATGCTCATCTAGTTTCAATTCCCCTGCTGTGTGCAGGTCACCAACCAGCAGATCAGGCTGCCCAGAGCCACATCCAGACTGGCCTTGAATGCCTGCAGGGATGGGGCATCCACATGGATTCATGGAATCACAGAATCATTTAGGCTGGAAAAGACCCCTAAGACCATCAAGTCCAACCAAATCCTGAGCACAGGAATGCTGGCAATGAAGCTGAATGAGAGCAATTGTCCCAGAAACACATAAAAAATAGGCAAATTTCGGTTTAGAACACATTTCCTCCAGGCTGCAGAGATGCAGGTAACGTGGGCAGCTCCCATCTCATCTCAGCCCATCACCCAGCCAGATGTCAGCCCTGCTGCAGCCGGCGACAGCGCTAGGTGGCAACCCCGCACCGCCGAGCAGCCTCGCTGCGCCTGAGCCGAAGCTCATCCGTCCCTTTCCGGTAATTAGGGACAAGGTAGGGCTTCGGTCGTTCCCCCCTTTCTGAAATCTCAGTCTGTTTTCTTCTCCAGCAGAGCCAGCCCTTTGTGCTCCTTGCCACCACGGGTATTCTTCCAAACCCTTCTATAAATTCTTCCAGAAATTTTTTTTCACGTTCGTTCTTCATCCTGTTAATTCTTCTGCCACTTCTCAGAGCTCTCACCTTGAGCATTTTGGGAGCACAACGGGCTGGCTTGACTCTGCAACACTTTAAAGCCGTCCGGGCTCAAGCCCAGCGGTGCAGTGACAGGGACTTTGCCATCAATCAATCCTCTTCCCGTTAAGACATCACCAGCGTCACCAGGACGGGCACGGAGCAGCTCCCATCGGCCTCCCCTGTGCTCCCCGCTTCCTCCCGGTGCCGGGCCCCAGCACGGCAAGGTGCGGTGGCACATCTGGTGGCACGGGGAGATCCGCGGCACAGCCTGGAGCAGCCGGTGCCCTGCGGACGGATGCGTGGAGAGTCCAGATCTTCGCCTCCAGATCCCCGCACGGATCCCCCGCCGTCATTCCCGAGGGATGGATCCCTCCCATCTGCAGGAGGGTTGGGCGCTGCGCCTCGAAATGCAGCAGGCGTGTGTGTTTTCAGGAAGCCGCCACCTTGCGCTGGCGGAAGTCAGCACCACAGGTTTGCCCCTTGGAGGCTGGGGAGGGTGAGTCATCCTCCAGCCTCTGCCCCTGAATCCCAGCCAAGGCATAAAAGCTTTTACCGCAGCCAGACACAAAACAGCCATCAGCAAGACACCAGAGCCCGGCTCTGGGCTGAACTACTTCCAGGGAGGTGACAACACCAGGATGCTGTCACCGCCAGCTTGACTGGCCACCGGGGCTGCCCGCATCCTGGCCATGTGGCCGTGGTGTGGTTGGGACCGGGGTAAGGACACTGCCGCCCTCGGGAGGTGACACACACACCTGGCTCCTTAAAGGAGCAGTTTTCCGTGATAAAAGAGGGATGAGAGCATCCATTTGTGGCCACATAGATGGTCGTGGGGATCTCTGTGGGGGGATGGAAGGGGGGAGAAAGCTCTGCAGCACTGAGGGCACAGCTACTGTGCTGGTGGGAGCACGCTTCAGCTCCAAAATGTGCCCGTGCTCTCCCGCATCCTTTGCACAGCCCAGAGACAGAAGCTGGGGTACCCATGCACAGTCACCAGACAGATCTGGGCTGGAGGCCCCTGACACAGCCCTGAAAGCCGAGCATCTTCCAACCCACTCCAGTGGCACAGGTTTTGGCACCCGTTTTGGCACCTGCTAGGGACAGCTCTGTATCATGCATCAGAGCTGCACCTTCACAATATAAAAGCAGGTTGGAAATGGATTTTCCCATCGCATCCACCCAAAGGCTGCAATGGAAACAATCCTAGAAAGCGTGGATGAGATTCTGGGAGCGTTCCTTACCTCCCATCCCTAGGGCTACAGCCAGGCACAGCTCTACATGGGGTGCTGCTGCCCACGCCCTAGGGGACCCCTGCCCAACTGCCCCTGCCAGAGGGGATGCACCACAACACAGCGCTCTGCGCCATTCCCGGGGGGCCATGCAGCAACCGTGCTAGGGTGGGGATGCTCCGCAGTGCTGCAGCCATGGTAGGAAGCAGGATGCCTGAATGCTTGGAGACACGGGCTCCAAAGTACCAGGGCCTCCCTCGCCTGCGGTCACTGAGGATGGGGGGGACATTCACCTGGCTGTGGGTGCAGCCATGAGTTTGCTTGGTGGGTGCTAGGAGGGCCAGAGATAAAGGGCTCAGACACCACCACTGACGCAGCACATGGCGCATGCAGGACCCCACAGGGGCTCGCACCCCAAAGGCAGTGCCCAAGGCTCACCCACCCATGCCACATCCCTGCCATCGCTCATCTCAGGGCCTGAGCTGCTCCCACCCGTGCAACTTGGGGATGGGGACACGGGGGCAGCGCTTCGGGTCTCTCTGTCACCATCCAAGCAGGGATGGCATCCCATGACGGGATGGGACCAGGGACACCAAATTCCTAGCAGTGCAGGAGGTGGCACAGCCCCGGGAGAGGCACAGCAGGGTGTGAACAGCTCTGGGGGCTGCCTCTCCCTCCCTCCCTGCCTCGCCGGGGGAAACGCGCCCGGACCCTCCCAAAGAGAATAAAGTCCCAGGAAAGAAAAATCCTACCTGCCTCTGATGGGCGGATGGACGGAAGGGCTCTGCAAAGGCGCGGAAGGACGGGGCAGGGGCAGGGGGTCGGGGAGGAAGGAGAGGGGCAGAGCGGGGAGGGGAGGCCGGGGGCGGAGGGGGAGGCGGCAGGGCGCGGCGGGGCTGGCTCCGAGGCGGCGGCAGCCGGAGCTGTGCGTCCTGCCCGGCCCCGCAGGCCCTGCCCACCCCGCCGAGCTGAGCCCACCCCGTCCTCATCCTCACCCTCATCCTCCCGTTGCCGCCCTCAGCACCTGGGGACCGCCACCGGCAACACCGCGAAGTGACAGCCCTTGGTTTTCGGGGACCCCTGCCACAGCCCGGCGGTGTGATTGGGGGTGCGCCGTCCTAAGCGGGAAGGACCTTTGGGGCGGGCGGTGGCAGCGCGGTGGCACCGAGACGCAGCTGCTGGGGCGTGGGGCCGGGAGATGCTTTGGGAGTCCCAGCGGGTGCAAGCAGCACCCGGCAGCGCCCCCAGTCCGCACCGAGATGCTGTAGGACATATTGGAGGGTCCTGACCCCTATAAATAAGCAACGAGCCCGCCTGGCCTCTCTTTGAATGGAACGGGGGCAAAACGAGAATCCCCCGGCGAATCCTGTGCGCACCCAGGCTGCATCCACCCTCTGTGTCCCGCACCCGAACAACACCTTCGGGCTCCGATTGTTTGTCTGAGATAAGGAGGAAAAATACAGAAACAAAATAAATGAGGACTTGTGGCGACTCCCCTGCAGCGGGGGAAACAGAGTTCTGCCCGCCGGGGCTGCGCGCAGTGAGGCGTTATGGAGTAGAAAGCCCCGGGTTGGGACCTCCGCCAGGCAGGCGCGGGGCTATGAATATTTCATCGGAGCAGCCGAGGGCTGTCGGGTCGCATCGCTTCTGGCACAGTGACTGCCGGGGGCGGAGGTGGACACGCGCAGCCCGGCCCACGCTGCGGGCAAGGGGATGGATGGGGTGGAGCATTCGGAGTTGATGCCCGTTTGTGGCTTTCTGCGCTATTTATGGAGTGATGGATATCCCCGCCGGGACGTCGAAAGTGCTCCCATCTCCCCTGGAGTGCAGCGGGGGGGCCGGGACAGCAGCGAGGACGCAACGGAACACGGCGCTGCTGCGGTTCGGTGGCACAGAGCGAGAAACCACCGGCACTTGCGGCCTGGCCCCGAGAAGCCCGGAGAGGTGCGCGACGCACGGACGCCGGGAAGATCCGTAGGCAGAGGTCTAAGGGGCTGCAAGCCGACGAAGGAACCCGGCTGGGGCTGGCCCTTCCGGGCAGCGTGCCCTTCCTCCTCCACCTCCTCCTCCTCCTCCTGCTCTGTCTCCTCCTCTTCCTTCCGCCCGCAGCACTGTGGGGGCTGTAGTCTCCTTACCCCCGCGCACATGGGATGAGACTACATTTCCCGGGTTACCCCGGCTCTTCCCTCCTCCCCCCTTGCCCCCCCCCCCCCACACTTTCGTTCTACTCCTCTTCGTTTTCATCTCGCTTCGGCGGCAGCGGGGCCGCCCGCGTCCCTATGCCCGCCCCCGCGCAGGTACGGCCGGGAACCAGGGGGGCACTGGGATGCAGGGAGCCGCGGTACAGAGGATGCGAGGGATGCGGCGTGCGGGGATCCGGGCACCGCGCACTTCACTCCTCTCCCACGTGCATCTCAGACCTGGCGCTGGAGGCGCACCCGTCCCTCGGCTCCGGAGATAGGGGGCTGAGAGATGCCCTTCAGGCGGTGTATTTTGGGGGAGGGGGGGGCAGTTTGTGGGGAGGTTACTCCAGTCGGTCGTGCATCCCACCCCTCCCTGCCGGCTGGGCCCCTTCCCACCGCAGCCCCCGAAGCGCTTGTCCCCGTCGTGGGACGGGCATCCCCGCAGGCGGGTCGGGCTCTACGGGTCGCTGTGCCGCCGTTTGGCCGCCCTCGGCCCTTCCTCAAGGTCACAGCCGCCGTGCTGCCCTCCTCACGCGTGCCTGCGTTTCGCCCGGAGCCCCGCACGAAAAAGCCCTTTGCATCCCGTAAGGCTTTCCGTAGGGCTGCCGTTTGACAGCCCGATGGCAGGACCCCTCCGTGGGGACGAATCCGCGCGGGCCGGCGCTGGCCGTGAACTTGCGGTTATTTGGGGATAGGGCTTAGGAACAGCGCGGCGGAGCCCTGCGCTGAGCGGGTCACGGGATTTGTAGACCTTGGTCCCGGTGGCACGGATTCCTGCGCACACGTGGAGCTTGGCGAGCACTGCCGGGTAGGGAGGAGTGCTGGGAGGACAGCGGGGCATGGGGCGTTCGCTGCGAGAGTGAGGAAGGGAGGGAGCTTCATTCCTCCGCGGAGCTGCAGACCCCTTTTCTTTCTCTGTTTTGCACGTGGCCTCCCTCGTATGGCTTTGAAATGCCAACTGGAAGGGGAACGGCATCCAAGAGCCTGATGTCTGGGAAGACAGATGCAGGCAGGGATAGGGAACTTTGTGAACGTGGACATTGGCAGCTGTGGGGTTGCATGAAATGGTGCAGAGGGATTTCTGCATGGGGTTTGCAGTCGTAGAATCATTAAAGTAGGAGAAGACCACTAAGATCATCTAGTCCAACCACCAACCCCATTCCACCATGTTCCTCGGTGCCACATCTCTGTGTTTCTTGAACGCATGCAGGGATGGTGACCCCCCGGGCAGCCTATTCCAATGCCTCACAACACCTTCTAAAGAAAGATTTCCTACTGTCCTGGCCCAGCTTAAGGCCATTCCCTCTTGCTCTATCGCTGTTACCTGTGAGAAGAGGCCAGCCCCCACCTCACCACAACCTCCTTTCAGGCAGCTGTAGAGAGTGATGAGTTCTCCCCTAACTGAACAATCCCAGTTCCCTCAGCTGCTCCCCATAGGACTTGTGCTCCAGACCCTGCTCCTGTAGCGATGCATGGGATTGCTGTGACTGCAGTGCAGGACCTGACACTCGGTCTTGTTGAAGCTCATTCCATTGGCCCAGTGGTCCAGCCTGTCCAGATCCCTCTGTAGGGCCATCCTACCCATACGTAGATTGACTCTTCCCAACAACTTGATGTCATCTACAAACTTACCAACGATGTGCTCAATCTCCTTGTCCAGACCGTGAATAAAGGTAGTAACCAGGGCGAGCCCTAATACATGACAGCATAGGCAGAAAAGCAGCTCCTGGAAGTGCTTTCTGAAAGCCTGTGTAGTCATCGGGGGTCTGTGCCTTCCCCATCCCATCCCGTGACTGCTAATCAGTCATGGTGCCAAGTTCAGGGATTTGGACATTAATCCTCCAGCAGACCATGAATCTCGTGGCAGTTCAGTGCACTTCTCTCCTCTCCCTGACTGTTGCTGCTTGAGCGTAACACTCTGGCACAGCTTTAGGTGATGCCATTATCTTTGGGTCCTCTGAAAATGCACCCAAAGGGCAGCATTGCTTTGGGCAGGGGGCAAAACTCCACTGCCTTTAAAGCAGGCGGCAGTGCGGTGGGTGGGGGGATGGACAGCCCCACCACAGTGCATCCGTAGGATCTTGAGGCATGCTTTGAAAACACCGCCTGAAACGGAGGGCCCCCTTTGGCAAAGTAAAGCTCTTTTTGATCTCCGTGGGCTCACATTGTTGCAAGAACATCTCCTGGGGAGAAATGTTATTGGTTTATTTGTGTTGCTGTTCTGGAGGAGTTTGATGCCGTGCCAAACTCTGCTCTCTCCCCCAGAAGCTGCAGCAGCGATGCGCTGGGGAGCGCCGGCAGCCAAAGCACAGCAGCCCGGCACAGCGGCACCCGCGTAGATGACGGTGCCCAGGCGTGAGCCCCTGTCCCAGCGCAGCACTGCCGCCATGCCCCAACGGGACGAGGGCAAGAAGCCGCCCGTGGAGACGGCGCCGGAGCAGCGCTGGAAGCTGCAGGTCTTCTACCTGTGCTTCTATGGCTTCATGACGCAGATCCGGCCTGGGGAGAGCTTCATCACGCCCTACTTGCTGGGACCCGACAAGAACTTCACGAGGGTGGAGGTGAGATGTGTGTATCCCCGCCTCGGCGCGTTCCTTTCAGCCACTGGCACCAGGGCTTGAGCTGTGCACCTCCCAGCACGGGTGCCAGCACCAGGGAGCACGGGGTTGGGTAGCTGCTATCCCCCATAGGCCAGGAAGCCGCTGTCGGGGTGCGAGGGGTTCTTGGTGGGATGGAAGGCTGAGCTTGCTTTGTGCTACTGGGGACGGTGGAGGTGGGGGTGCACGGCTGGGGCTGCCGGTAGTGAGAGGGTTAGGCAGGATCTCCCCTGCTAAGCACTGCTGACCCTGCTCCCAGCCTCCATGGGAACGCCGCGTTCCCAGCGCAGGAGGGGGTCAGGGCTCAGCTGGGCTGAGCACGCAGGGCCGAATTCCTCCCCAGGCCGGTCACACAGCACTCGGCCTTCCCCCACACATGGCAGGTGACTAACGAGATCATGCCGGTGCTGACGTACTCCTACATGGCGGTGCTGGTGCCCATCTTCCTGCTGACCGACTACCTGCGCTACAAGCCGGTGCTGGTGCTGCAGAGCCTGAGCCACATCTCCATCTGGCTTCTGCTGGTGCTGGGCACCTCCGTTTTGGCCATGCAGCTGATGGAGTTTTTCTACGGTGTCACCATGGCCGCACGCATCGCCTACTCCTCCTACATCTTCTCCCTCGTCGCCCCGTCCCGCTACCAGCGCATGGCCAGCTACTCCCGCTCCTCTGTCCTCCTGGGCGTCTTCACCAGCTCGGTGCTGGGGCAGCTCTGCATCACGCTCGGCAGCATTTCCTTCCTCACCCTCAACTACGTCTCGTTGGGCTTCGTCACCTTCGGCCTGCTCCTCACCCTCTTCCTGGAGCGGCCCAAGCGCAGCCTCTTCTTCAACAGGGCTGAGGCGGCCTGCAATGGTGCTGCACCCACTGAGCTGGATAAGATGGCCGGTGGGGACAAGATGGACAGTGGGGACAAGGCAGACGGCAGGAAGGAAAAGATGGGGGGCTGGCGCCAAGCCACGCTGTGCCGCATGCTGCGGGAGGTGTGCACGTTGGCCAAGCAGTCCCGGCTCCAGCTCTGGTCCTTCTGGTGGATCTTCAACTCAGCCGGCTACTACCTGGTGCTGTACTACGTGCAGATCCTTTGGAACGACATCTACCCAGCCAGGGAAAACCGGCGGGTGTACAACGGTGGGGTGGACGCCGCCTCCACGCTGCTGGGTACGTGAGTGGGGCATCCTCATCCCGTTGCGTGCCCTGGGGACGGGGTCTTCACGATGCTTTGTGTGGGGTGGGATGGCGCCAGGCTTTGAGCACATGGTGGAGCAGCATGGTGCGATGGTGAAGTGTTGACGGCGTTCCCTGTGTCCCCTTGCACAGGAGCCATCGCCTCCTTCGCAGCCGGGTACTTGAAGATCCGCTGGGCGCTGTGGTCAGCGCTGGTGATTGGGGTGGTGACAGCCATACAGGCGGGGCTGCTGCTACTCATGAACACCACTGGAAACATCTGGGTCTGCTACACAGCCTATGTCCTCTTCCGTGGCTCCTACCAGTTTCTGGTTCCCATCGCCATGTGCGTGGTACTCCCAGCCCTCGTTGGGAGGGCTGTGGGGTGTTTGTGTGGGGTGCTGGCGGGGCTGGTGCTCAACCCCTCCTCATCTCTCAGCTTCCAGATAGCTACCTCCTTATCCAAAGAGCTCTGCGCCCTCGTCTTCGGGGTCAACACATTCTTCGGCACCGTGCTGAAGACCGTCATCACCATCATTGTGGCTGACAAGAGGGGCTTGGGCCTCTCTGTGCACCCCCAGGTAGGACGGGGCTGGGGAGCACCAAGGAGGATGGGTTCCCGTAGTGGCACAGGGCTGGCTGCAGAACCACTCTCTTGCAGTTCTACGTCTACTTTGGCTACTTTTCACTGCTGGCACTGGTCTACCTGCTGATGGCCGTGGTGATGGTCGTCCGGCACAGCCGCCGAGCGCAGCCACCAGAGCTGATCCCCACTGAGGGCCAAGTGCAGGAGAAGAGCCCAGAGGCAGCTACCGTGCAAGCCTGAGTGCCAGTACCCAGTGAGACAGGATGGCAGGATGGACTGGCTCCTTTGGCACGGCTCAGTGGCTCAAACAATGAGTGTCACCGCCAGCATATGCTCCCACCTCCCATCTTTCTGACAGTGCTGAGCTTTCTGCCCCAGCCACCCCGTGACCAGCAAGATGCTGGCAGTACACGGCTAGCACCCAGCCCCCAGGGTCGTCTTCCACCCCCTGCTTGGGGCCCAAACATACCCAGCGGAGGTAGGATGCCCATTGCAGCACCAAAGGGTACCACACAAGGGGTACCCCTGTTGTTCCTGCAGAGCTGTGCGGAGCCAGGCTACAAGAGGATAACGTTTCTTTATTCAGTGCCTTTAGAAAATGGTTTATGGGACACAACAGACAAAAAATATAAAGATCCACAGGCTTTAAATTGCATTAATTACACAAAATACAGTAGACTGTAAGAAATAGAGGCCGTGTGACTCGCACAGCTTTTATGGTAATAATTTCCATAAAATAATAAAAAGCTAGTTACAGATTTATCTTTTTTTTTTTCCTTTTCTGTTTTTTTTAGCACCTTGGATATGCCCACACCAATGCAAATGTCTTTGCTCCGCCGTGGCCCCTGGGGCACAATAGCGGTGGCCCAGCAGGTGCTGGCGGTGTCTGGCCTAGGAACCACATGTGGTCAACATGCACACACACGCAAACGCACGTAAACACATGCCAAGGGTATGCCGGGCCACCCCACTCCTGCCCTAGCTGTGGGGTGCCCCACCGCCCTCAGAGGACCCCACTGAGTTGTGCTGAAAGCACCTGGGGCAGGGAACACACAGAGGGCTGGAAGCCTGACCCTAGTACAGGGATAGGCAGAAATGGAGCAGGGCCTTTGGGGCGGATATGGGGACCAGAACCCAGGGCTCACCTTGTGCCCAGCGAGGGATGGGTGATGGAGAGGAGGTGCAGGGCTGGGTGGGATGGGTCTTACCTGGGGAGGACGGAGACTGCAGAGGAGCAGGGCACTGGGGAACCCCACCACTGCCACGGGACGGTCCCTCACCTAGGAGGGGACAGCTGGGGTCCTCCTTTGGTGGGCTGGAGATGCCACAGCCCTTGCAATGTGGATTTGGGGCTGGCCTTGAGCTCCTGGCCAAGACAGAGCAGGGCTTTCCAGCAGGTGACTGCACAGCATCTCCAAAACCTCTCTGCGGAGCATCCTTCCCCACCCAGCCTCCCCTGGTGAGTATTTGAGCAGGGAGGAGGAGCGGGTGGCTGACACAAGGGTATGGCTGAAGTGGTTAAACACAAGGGGTTAGAAAAGAAGTGGAACCAGAGGTACAGGAGGAAGAAGGCAGCCAGCCCACGGCTGCCCAGATCCTCAGGGATAGGGGTGAGCCCCCTCCAGGCCAGAGCAGTGGCAATGGCGATACTCTTTGGCTTTAGGTCTGGGGGAGAAGAAACCCAGTGGGGTGAAGGCAGGAGCGTGGCGGGGAGCAGAACCTCCCCAAGGAGGTGTGCAGTGCTCAGAGAGCAGGGTCATTTTTTGGCGGCAGTCATGAAGCTGTTCTCAATGCAGAGGACGACAAAGGCATGCTGACAGCTGCTGGCTGACTGCTCCAGGAGCTTGCCTGAGCTCAGCGAGGAAGCCTGCCCGCTGGTATCACGCTCGTCCGTCCGCCATGCCTCACAGTAGCTCTCGGGCAGGCGACGGCCCTTGGCATCCGAACCATGCCAGATGCTCTTCTGTGGCCTGAAAGACACAGCAATGTGAGGCTGCTGTGATGGGATCCAGTCCCCAGCCACCCTCCCTGCAGGGATGGCCGGGGCAGGATGCAGCATGCAATACCCAATGCTCAGGGGTGGTCAGCACAGGACGCAGTGCGAGGTACCTGGTGTGTCCACTCCAACCCCATCCCCTCTCTGCCTGCAACAGGCACATCCTGCACCCTGGCAGGCACAGCGGCCCTGTGCAGGACTCACCACGCCGAGTCCTGCAGGATGTCCCGGCCATCAAAGGAGAGGATGCGGGCTCCAGCCCTCAGCGGTGCCTCACTGCCGGTGAAGAGGGCCTCCCAGTTACTGAAAAGCACCTCGTCCTGGGGGCAGAAATGGGGATCAGCCCAACCCAAGAGTTTGCATCTCCAGAACTCGGACCTGTGGCTCCCAGCAGCCCCAAGCAGGGGATGCTCTGCAGTCACCATTCCTGCCAAGCGATCCGATGGCAGCTCTGGGTGCCACATGGAGGGACACGCCACAGTGAAGGGGCTGGGGCCGTACCCGGAGGTTGACGATGGGCACAGAGGTGCGGTCGGCCCTGCGCACGATGCTGTACAGGTCCTGCAGGCGGGAGGAGAGGAAGGCACGGAAGGTGCCGGCCAGCCCGACCTGCCGGGCTTGCTGGAAGCACTGGAAGTCAGCGCCACGAATGCCACGCATGCCGCCGCTCAGCGGGGTGTTCAGGGCCACCAGGTGCAGCTGCAAAGGAGATGAGCAATGCTAGGGACATGTCATGCCCCACACCACCTCCCTACCCAGGGCAGGGACCGGCGGCACTCACAGCAGGCTGGAAGTCCTGGTGCACGTGGGCAGCCACGGGTGCTGGATCCGGCCAGCGGTGGATGTAATAGCTGTTGAGGAGCTCGTGCTGCTGCAGCAGGGGTGGCTGGGGCAGGCGGTGCTGGTTGGCCACCACCTCATCCCCACGCCAGGGCCGGGCAGTGGGCGGGGGGTTGTGGTTGCGCAGGGGATGCACGGGTTGCTGGGCCCCTCCGTAGTGAATGCTGGGCAGCTTGTCGTATACCTCATTGTCCTGAAGCAAAAGGGAGAGAGCGCTCAGGGCTGCCCAAATCTGTGCAGGGGACATGCAGGTGACAGGGATGGGACTCACCAGTGCCGAGCTGGGGACCAGGGTGTGCTCCTCCAGCTGCAAGGACACAGTGTGTGAGAGCAGAGCTGCTCTTCCCTCCCCAAGAGCATCTCCAGAAGGATGGCGCCAAACCCCAGCTGGAGCAGCCTAGTGCCACCTGTCCCCACTCACCAGCACTCTGCGGAAGCCCCCACGCAGGCGCACGTAGAGCTCCTGCCGGTCAGTCAGGAAGATGAGTCCTCCCTCAGGCAGCTCGTGTGCAGCACTCAGCATCGCCTGGTACGTGGGCATGGCACGCAGCTGCAGGCATACAGAGACAAGGCTTAGCCTCGGCGTGGGGACATGGTGACACCTTCAACCCATCCCAGCCCCAACTCACCCCCAGAGATGTTCCGCTGGTGCCTGGTGGCCCAGGGGGGCCTGGTGGTCCAGGGGGGCCAGGGATGCTGATCGCTGGGTGGAAGGAGAGTGAGATGGCTTGATGTCCTGTGTCGGAGAGCAGGCAGAGACACAGGGCAGCAACTCACCTTGTCTGTGGGGACCTGGGAAAGAGGGCGGCCCGGGGGGGCCGGGAGGGCCTGGGGGGCCTTGCCGCCCTTCGTAGCCAATGCCAGGGGGTCCCTGTGGTCCAGGAGGCCCCGGTGGCCCAACAATGCTGTCCCCTTTGGGACCCTGGATAGGGTGAAAGAGCATCCCTGAAACAAAGGCACAGCCCCAGCACCCAGAGCCTTGCTGCCCCTCGTACGATGGGGTACTCACCATCAGGGTGTGGGGTATTCATGGCAGGGTGTGCAGTACTCACCGGTGGACCTGGGTAGCCCTGGGGCCCTGGTGGCCCAGTGACACTGGGGCCATAGAGTGTGGAACCACCTGGCTCGCCCTTCTCTCCTTTGGGACCCGCCTCTCCCTTGTCACCCTGTGGTACAGCGTGCCCTTAGGACAAGCAGTTGGGTGCACCCTACAGCCCCAGATGGCACCAGGCCACGTACTGAGGACATCCCCATGACGCAGACCTTACCCGCAGGCTTGCACTGAACCGGCTCAGGTCGTAGGGGAACTGGCCTGGGGGGAGGGAGAGAGATTGTAAACACAGAGCAGCCACCACTCACCTCTGTCCATGGGGATGTGCCACTCACCTGGGGGCCCCGGGGCACCCACATCTCCTTTCTCTCCCTTTTGACCTGGAAACTGGTGAAAACCTGTGGGGAGCACATGGGTGATACCATCTCAGAGGTGCAGCCCCACGGCCACCACTCCAACAGAGGCACCCTTGGCTGGGATCCCCCAGGCTGCCAGGAGCTGCTGGGGTGCAAAACTCCCCTTACCTGGGAAGGCGGGACGGCTGGCATCGCTGAAGCCCTGCAGGGACACAGAGAGCAGCTGCTGGTGCCAGCCCACATGCCAGCTCTGTCAGATAGCACTGGGGTGCCCTCTCCAACCCCACCAAGCACCGAGACAACCGCAGCACTACTCACATTGTTACTGTCATAGACCACACTGCCAGGTGGCCCGGGAGGGCCGGGGGGACCTGGGGGGCCAGGAGGACCCTGGAGGAAGAGAAAAGATGCATCAGGGTCCTGGACAGGTTCCCATAGAGGACTGGGCCCTGTGCCAAAGGGATGCAGGACCCTTCAGTCTCCTGTCCTCCCTTCCATGCAGCTGCACTCACCCGCAAGCTCAGCATACCACCGATATCCACTGGGTCGCCCTTCTCACCCTTCAGCCCATTCATGCCAGGACGTCCCTGAGGAGAAGCACATCAGCTTCACTCCTGTCCCCATGTCATGGTACAAAGGACAGAGCTGGTGTTCCTGCCCTTGCATTCCCTCCCCAGCACTGCTCCCATTTCCACCATCCCGTGTGGACACAATGGTTTGGGGTCAGGAGGGCATGCTGTGGGAGCACCAAGGAGGAGGCAGTGGCCCAGAGGCAGAGGCAGGGATAGAAAACAAACCAAGAATGTGTCTTACAGGTCTGCCTGGAAAGCCGATTTCTCCCTTCATCCCTGCTCGCCCATGGGGGCCCTGGAGGGAGAAGAGAGAGGACAGGAATGTTCAGTGCACCAGAGAAGCCCCATGCCTCCACGGGCACAAGGAGGGTAGCGATGCTGACTTACAGATGGGCCCATCGGTCCTTGCAGCCCAGGCTCCCCCTGTGGAAATGTCAGACAGGGAAATGTCATCAGCATCAGGACGGCAGCACCACAAGCAGCACTGTGCTCCAGCACGGTACACTCACCTTCTGTCCTTTCATGTTGGCAGCAACAATGGTCCCATCCGGGCTGATGATGACGCCAGGCTCTCCCTTCTCTCCCTGCAAAAGGCATACAAATGGAGCACACACCCAGTATCGCAGGGCTGGCACCAGCCAGAAGAACGACCAGAAGCTGCTACCTTCATCCCTGGTGCACCTTGGATGCCTGGTGATCCTGGATCCCCCTTCGGTCCCACTGGGCCCTATGCAGAGGAGCAGAGCCCACATCAGCTACCAGCTGGTACCCAGGGGCTGCCCCGCTGCTGGCACCCAGACACTCACCGGGAAACCAGCATGTCCTGGTCTGCCCTGCAGGAGGAGCACACAGTGAGCAAAGAGGTGGCTGTCCACGAGCACTGCCGAGGTACGGATAGGGGAGGTATGGCTGTGGAGAGGTACCTACCTCTGGGCCCGGCAGAGCTG